CCATGTTAATATGAAGTTCATTAACTAATAATTGTAGATATTATGGGTAGCACCACTTTTACAAGAAAATGTACCTTAGGCTGCGTTTGTTTTCAATGCAAATGTAAATATGTACCCTGCATATTTGCCTTCATCTTGGTTCATGAATGTAAAGTTGGTTCACAGCTTAATCCGTTTTTTGTACTCTTCTCGTTTGTTAGGAAATGAGGTAAATGAGTGTACAAATTTGCTGACATTTGGTTGACATCGATGCAATCTATGAGAGCAAACATAAATGCTCTAACTACCTACTCTCCACTGTGTTGAACTTTTGGTCAAATAACCATCAAACCAGCTTCGATGAAATCTGGACCGTCCATTCTAACCAAGATCACATCATAAGAGGATCGTGCGCTCCTTTTCGGAACTCCACTTCTTATTCTTCTTCCTTCCTCTCTGATCAATCAATCTGGTGCTCTCTCTCTCTCTTTGAATGTTAAATAAATGGAAGCCAAGAACCCCGGACTCTAGTATTATTCCAGCCTAGGACCCGCAAAACACTGCATTTCTTTCTTCAATGACTAAATTTGGCTTACATTTAATTGGTGCCTACCATTTTTGTTGTTGTTGCTGATGGCATTTGATTAGAGCTCCACCCAGAAAGACCTCCGATAGTTAGATGTTGCTCGGACGGTCGCCGAAGAGTCACATGATGCCATTGGTTTGGCAACAGGGAGGAACGCCGAGGGATTTCTCCCTAATTCAGCTCGTGATGTTGGTAGTCCTGGGTCTAGACAACCACTGTATTATGCGGCGACGGTTCCCGATATTGGGTATGTGGGGTTAGGGTTTGTGAATCTGATGATGGCTTGGTGTTCTCGTCCGCTTGTGCTCATTGGCATCGCTAGTGGTGTGCCTGTTGGGTATACTAAATTTCCAAATGTTGGAAATCAGGTTGGAGGTAATGGGGCCGATCGAGCGAGCAATGAGGGTGGCAAAGAATCGGTGTAGGGGAAAAAAGTTAAGTTTTTGTGCAGTTTCGGAGGTAAGATTTTGTGGAGACCAAGTGATGGGATGTCGAGATATGTCGGAGGTCAAACTAGGATAATTGGTGTGAAGAGAGATTTATGTTTTCAAGAACTAGTGCTGAAGATGACCAACATCTATGGCCAATCCGTGCATATCAAAACACAAGAGGAGATGAACATTTCACCCCCATCTCCGACCAGCAACGACCATGGTCGGAGATGGGGTGAGAAAGTTACCATTGGGGGGGAACAGAATACAACAAATCTCCTCTCACTCGAACAGCTATTTTCATTTCGTCAAACAACAGCACAAACATATACCCTATTTACATTGTCAGCCAGAGAGAGCAAGTTTGCATCTAAAAAATCAATGCAGTAATGCATTTTTGAAACGAAACAAAGCTGTCAGAAAAAAACAATTTTACCCTCTTAATCGATGCAGTTATGTATGCCAAACAAATGCTCACAAACGTAAACCAGAGTACATAAATACCCCGATTAGGCGTTTATATTGCAAACAAGCACAGCCTTAGAGTTTATGATACTCATGACTAGATGAATGCAATTGCTAGCCATGACTCAACTTTATCTTGATTTTTGACCCTTCCTCTCAGCCATAATGGAGCAACAAATAAGCTCCTCCTTACCTTCACCTAATGCTTCATTGACATTTTGAGAACCTGGGTCCTAGCTTTACTTAAAACCTCCATCCCATTTTGATGGAATATGTGTTTGTGTGTTTATAGGTACTAAAATGGAAAAATATTGTGTTGTAATCAAAGGGTGCCAACCAAGAACTTATTTTACATGGGCAGAGTAAAATGCCCAAATGCATAGATTTAACAGATAACACCTATGAAGAAGTTGTATTTCAATTACAATGGTACCAACACAATTTAGATCCAATACCCAACACCCTATATAAAGGATACTGACTCATAGGTGAAGGCATTAAAAGAACTCCACGTGACATGATAATGTATGACTTTGGGAGCTACTTTTGTCAACTTAAATATTATGAATATGCTATATTTTCAATGTCCATGACTTTTTTAATATTGCCATGTCAGCATGCCATGTGGCAAGATTCAAATACTACTATGCCATGTCACTCCATAAATAATAAGGGTTATGTTGTGGATTTGGAGAGTGTATGGATTTATCAAAGTGGATTGAAATCAAATACCTTGTAAAATTTTCTCAACAAACAAATACAAGGTGCCAAAACTGGGAATATATATTTTCCTTTCTTATCCCATCTCTTCTCATCCCATTGTTTCTTAGCAACCAAACAGACCACAAGGAATTTATAGAAAATTGGGCTATTGAGTATCCAACCAGCCCATTTTATATATTAATCCACATCCGATTCATGACAATGATAAAGCTCACTAGAAAAGTGGCAGGATGCAAGAGTTGTTCCAATGTCCACATTGTTCAAAAACTCCTCAAATGGATGCAGCCCATAAGGCCAAATCTCACGAATATTAAAGGATGATGACGAAGATGATGATTGAGACATTTTCACAGTAAGGAATAGCAATTATAGTGCAGTAAAGGGTAGGTCTCTCTCTAAGAACAGGATAATGGGGAAAAAGATGAACAATAAGAAAGGATTTCAAAACCCTAAACCACGGGGCTACTGGCATCCACTGGCATATGGTAGAATAGGGTTAACCTCACGTTTGTAAAATAACTTGCTAAGGTTTCCAATTTTGAAAATTCGCCTATTAGTCCCTAGAAGTCCTATCACTACCTGTCAAGCATTTAGATGTCTTATTACTATGATAGCTAATCAAGTACTTTATATTAAATAGGCTGACATCAATTTGTCAATCATGCCCCCACATGCGTGTCACATTAAATGAAATGTTATATACTATCAATCAATTCATATGAAAACTAGTACGGAAAAGTACGGAAAGTCTGAATTCCAGCCCCTCTACTACTAGCCCTTTCTCCTATAAACCACATCTTTGCCGGTGAATTTAGCATCAATTCCCCATTCTCAATGCGCTTATAGATTAGACCTATTCATGGGCCGTGGGCCGGGCTTTTATTTTGGATTAACAGAATTTTCTAAGGCTCGAGCCCGAGCCCGAGCCTGGCCCGATCATCGGCCTACAACTTAGGCCAAGTCCGGCCCTCATAAAATTTAGCCCATACTATTAGCGGCTGAATAGAGAGAGAGATTGTAAAGAAAATAATAAAATATGTATATATTAAATTATAAATATATATTTTAATAAATATTATATTATTTATATATTTTATAAAATATATAATGCTGAGTTGGATCGGACCGGGTTCGGGCCGGGTTTTTTTGACAAATCCGAATTTATCAATTATGACACAGGGTACTTATTAGATCGAATAAGTACATTAGATCCGGTACGAAGTTGCAACTCCGGGTAAGGAACAACGCTAGACATTATAAGGTAAGCTATTGAGTGGCCTGAAAAAGGCTGAGCCCAGCCTGAAACATAGTCGGGCTTACTATATTAGGTCTGAGGTCAGGCCTGCGGGTCTAATTACATGACCAAGCCCGACCGGAGTGTGGGCCGGGCCGTTGGACTACCCGGCCCATGAACAGGTCTATTAGAGATTCACTAATGAAAGTGAAATTGCACAACAAACAAATGAAGCCTAAGAAACATCATTCCTACCTTTATGAACGATCTAAGCCATTTTCTTGTGAAGAAAACCAAGAATTGCATGAATTCTTTCTTTACTAAAATTTCTCTTTACGTATGTAACTACAACAGTCTCTATTTGATATGTTGCTCTTTACAAAATAATGCGATTCACCGTGAACACTCCCACACGCTTTAGATGCCTTTTAGTAATTTATAGACCAACTGCCATGAACCATACATGTATAAATAGAGACGGTCACCACTTGGCCAAGTGTTCATTTTCAATCTGTTTCCCATCTTATTGGAGGCTTGGAGTTTAGTGGAGACTGTCTGCGAATTGGATTTCAGTCGGATCAGATTTCCTACTTGGAGAGATGGAAGATGCGTTTTTCTTTGAATATATATTTGTTGATAATCACCTTTTAGTAATTTATAGATCAACTGCCATGAACCATACATGTATAAATCGAGACGGTCACCACTTGGCCAAGTGTTCATTTTCAATCTGTTTCCCATCTTATTGGAGGCTTGGAGTTTAGTGGAGATTCGCCTGCGAATTGGATTCCTGCCGGATCAAATTTCCTACTTGAAGAGATGAAAGATGCGTTTTTCTTTGATATTTGAATATATATTTGTTGATAATCATCTTTAGATCCAATTTCTACTGTTTTTATCTTCAAAAATCATCATTCCTCTAGTTTAAAATGAATTGGTGTTAATGTCTTTTTTTCTTATGGTAAGCCCTTGCGGGAGGGTAATCTATTTATACTAGTAATAAATAAACAAAGACAAAATACAAGATGTATGCAAGCTGTTTGAGAAAATAACAGACCGAGCTGTTTACGTGGTTATTGTGGTGGAATGAAAATCCCAACTGAATTTTAATCCCAAGCATCCTCAACCAAAATTTAGTTTCCCATTTATCATGCCCACCAAATATTTAATGTGATTTTAGTAATATGTTTATACTTTAGGTTCAGTTTGAAAAGAGTACAAATACAAATATATACAATTAAGGCAAATACGTACAAAATAATAAAAAATACCAGATTTTACACTCTACATATTTGTATTTATACCCCTTCCAAACTGAGCTTTAAGATCTTTCTTCTTACCCAACAATAGTTTATAACCTCCTCAATAGTCAACCCTTTTTTTCTCTTGAATAACTTTCTTTCATTGGTTTGTTGAATGCCACTTATGGTGTTTTAAGATGTGCTACAACCTTCTGGCGAGGCCTACTTTACTTTTTAAAGCTTCAATCTCCCCTCTCCTTTTGCATTATTTTTAATTTCCCATGAAAATTTCTGGTACTCTTGTTCTGTAATGCTAGAAAAGTTCTGCAATTGATCTGCAGGATTTGTTTCTCAAGTACACCTTCGCACCATAAATATTACGATTTCGGGGAAAGATTTGGGGTGTCTCGAAGAAGGACTACTTGTGTCTAACGTAGTGGCTACAGCCGTTGATGATGCACAGGAGGCCATAATTTCCAGGGTTTTCACGCCATCGTTCTACTGGAAGTTGCTGCGTTTGTTCAAGGTTGGAACGGAGAAGAAGTTAGCCAAAGCACAGGAGGTCGCTGATAATGCGATTTATGATATCGTTTGGCGTAAGAGAGAAGAAGTGCTTAAAGGAGTAGAATCAGAAACAAATAGCTTACTGTCTACCTACGTTCGATCTCAAGGAGAGAAGGCGGACTGGTCTGAGGTCAGGGTGAAGTTCCTTAGAGACATGGTTCTCAACTTCTTCATAGCTGGGCGGGACACTACAGCTTTGGGTCTTCTCTGGTTCTTCTGGTCACTTTACAGAAATCCTCGTGTGGAGGCGAAAATCCTGGAAGAGTTGAGGCATGTAGTCTCTCATCAGAAGGAGAGAAAAGGTGAAGTAATTGATGATGGTGATGCTGTAAGCGTAAGCAAGAAGAGATGCATGTTCGATCCAGATGATCTCAAGAATTTGTTGTATCTGCATGCAGCATTCTGTGAAACACTACGGTTGTTTCCTCCCGTCCCTTTGAACAGAAAAGGAGTCATCAAGAAAGATGTCCTCCCTGATGGCAGTGTTGTCAAACCAGGGATGCAGGTACTGCTCGGAGTTTACTCTCTGGCAAGGATTCCGTCTGTGTGGGGGGAAGATTGTTCGGAATTCAAGCCGGAGAGGTGGATTAAAGAGGATGGTTCACTGGATAACGACATGATTTCCAAATTGTTATTTGCATTCGGTGGTGGCCCAAGAATTTGCATTGGTAGGGACATGGCTTTCACCAATATGAAGTGGACTGCTGTTGCTATCCTCTCCAATTTCCATATTCAAGTGGCAGATAAAGATCACCCAGTCTCCTTGAAATCAACGGTTGTTCTTCAAATTAATGGTGGATTGATGGTCCATGTAAAACAAAGGAGTTTGTTTTAATTTAGTATATATATTAGAATTAATTAATCAAGTCTTAATTAGGCTGCTTTTGGCATGCAATCAGGTTAATTATAAGCTAGCTAGCTAGCTTATTATGAAAATTAGTCCAATTTAAAAAAGTTCTGCAGGTAATTAAGGGCGTTTGGTAAGAGCATCATTCATTTACCAATGCTCCTCCTTTTATCTGTAATAATGAGTGTTAAGCCTATGGCAATATCTAGCAATAAAAAAAAAGACCTTATTTTTTCTTAAATGTCAGTGTGGCCGGTATGGTTTTCAAAACCGGATCGGACCGGATGATCGGACTGAAAAATTAGGAATCGTTCAAGTGACCAGTTCCGTTTTTCCCTAAAATCAGATTTTTGTCAAAAGATCATTGATTTTAGTAAGAAAATCGCTAATCCAAACAGTTAACCATTCAAACCGTTCGACCTGAGAACCGGACCCCTAACTGGTTCGTCCTCTGGATCGATTTTAAAAACCTTGGTGGCCGGCTCTTGTGATGATTTTATATGGCATACTGCACTAAAAATGATACATTAATTCATATGTATCAAGAGAGTGACAATATAGCCTACTACATTAGCCTGATCATGTCATGAGACGGGAATAGCATCAAGAGCGGAGTAAGGGTTGCTGAATCACCCAAGAAACCCAGACGATGAGGGACACGTGGGTGAAGGGTAGGGCCTCCACAATCACCCATGATGAACCACCCATGATGAATGAGTCAGAGCGACCTGGAGCCTTCGAGGGGTCACCTCAGTCCACGCACGCCATGTGTCCTAACAAGCGGGGGACACAATGGCACTCCCCTAGGTATTTAGAGGCCCTCTCTCTTTCTCTCTCTCTCTCGTTCTTTAACGCAGTTAGGCTTAACTGACCTTCATCATCCTTGACTTGAGCATCGGAGTTCCTTCCCCAGCCTAAGGAACTTCCTCAGGACCTTTGACTTGCTTTCTTGCACGTTGTGCTTGGTGTACCACATCGTCCTGCTCACCTCTGCTGCTTGTCCACCTTGGCACGCCTTTATGGAAAATTGACCAAAATGCTCTTACAAAGGGCAAACTAGGAAATATATAAAATAAATTCTAGGAAATATATAAAAAATATAGGAAATATCAGAAATTTCATAAAAATTAAAATTTTATAAAAATAAAAAAAAATTGAAGAAAACAAAATATATATATATATATACATATATATATATATATAAAAGCATAGAGATTTCCACTAATGAAGATATTTTATCTGATTCAATATCATTTTACATGCATGTATTCATAGACCGTTCTGTTGGAGGCGGATCTCATAATCTGGACTTTGAGGTCTATTGTCTCTTTGGTTTATGCATTTAGGCACGCCTTGTAAACATCAATTTGTCGGTCACACCATCTATTCTTTGTCCCTCCAAATCTCTTCAATATATGGCTGGAAGCAAAGAAACATTTCAAATTAAATATGATGTTCAAAGTTCAAAATCAATAAAATTTAGGCTTTTAGCGCAAGTTTTCTTCGAAGTGAATTCGGTTGAAAGAAAGAAGCAGAAAAGAGAAATGGGGAGTTATTAAAAAAGTTTTTTAATACATAACATGCTCCAAAATAAATATTTAAACTCTTCACATACTATACATGGAGACAATCCAAACTCTCCCCTACCCAACGCAGCAAGAGAGGGGAATTGGGAGAGCATTAATAAGTATTCCAGACCGGTAACCCAATCCAAACTCTCTGTCAGTAATCAGATTAGGTTCATATCAATAAAAGGAATTGAAATTCTAATGTATTACCCACCAGTTAATAAAAGTTGGAACTTCACCTTGTTGGTCGGTAAACATGAAGAAAGGTTATCCAGATGTAATTACCATACGATTGTAAATGATTCATTTATATAAAGGCAGAGTCATGTCAATAAAGTAACAAGAAGACCACGATAGCTACAAGGGGTGCACATAAAGTAGTAGCCAAAGCAGATCTAGCACTAGCAACACACAGCTAGGGGTGTCACAGCAAGAGCTGAAGGTGCCTTCACCAGGCCATCACTGAGCCTGACAACTAAGTTGACTGGCTCTTGTTTAAGAAATTGTAATTACTTAAGTAGATAAATTCTCCTGTACATGATAGATAAGCCTTGCCAACAGTGCTGTTGACGAAGTTTCTGAAGCCAACCGACCTGAAAGCAGAGTGTGCATCCTTCCTCTGCATTTGCCAGGACTCAGAATCTGCGTTGAAGATTCCATCGCCAAGAATATCGAATATCTGCATGAAATTCTTGCCTTTTGGATAGTTGGCGATGTTGGTCTTGAAGATGTGCTCTAAGTTTTTGGGATTACAAGTCACCAGGTAGTCGATATTAGACAAGACGAGGCCCTTCAGGTAGAAGGAAGTGCTGCCAAGCTTGATGAAAGCCTCCGTCAACAGCTCATATATCCTGTGGCTGTTCAAGAACAACACCGGGACCGAGACCAGAAAAGGCCAGTTGGAGTAGACGTGGTTGTTCTGTTTGCGTTCCAAGAACCATCTGAAAAGGAAGAAAAGAACAACTGCTAGAAAGACGACGTAGCATGCAGAGGCTGGTGGGAGGAATGGGATGGTGATGAACGCCATGGCCATCTGATGATCTCTGCAACTCTGCAGCACTAACGAATGTAACAGGTTACATTTATAGTTAAAAAATACTTTAAATTTTAGTCTGTACAATGAACTGATAATAGAGACCGGATTGGCTGGAGATAAAAATCATGCACATCGGGCTGAGTTAGATTATAAGCTGGCGTCTTCATTGAAAGGGGGTCCGGATTTGTAATGAAAAGAGCAACTACCACGAACCGTAATTCTTCAAGTTGGTTGGTTGGATACGATATTAAAATAGGGGAAAATCTATGAAAAGGGAAAGATATTATATGGAAAGAGTTTTGACCAATCAAAACCCATCCATGCTTGATGATAAATGACACTTGATTCACTATCATGTTTATCATGTTTATGATTCCAATTTATTGGTTAGTTGTTTTTATGGATATCATATCTTAAAAACCTACTTCTTAAAAATCAAACCCTGATCTCACATAATTAATAACAAAGAGAAGGGCTCCCTTTATAATTGGAATCATAAACCTGATAGTGAATCAAGTGTCATTTATCAAAATTTATGAATGAATTTTAATTGGTCAAAACTCTTTTCATATCTTATCTTTTCTTATTTTACCATTTTCTTCACAAAAACCACTTCAGAAGGGAGGCACTGCATTTATGGGGTTGAAATGGGGTCAGTCTCCAGTACACATACAATTAAAGAGCTCAACTGTGAAACTTTAATCAAATTAGGGTATATATTTGGAAAAGAAATAAGTATTTATTTAAATAAATAATTATATCTGTTTGGTGGGTCCCTTTCCAAACTACTTATACTTATGGTAAGGACTAAGGAGTACTGGCCTGGGGTGATCAAAACAACTTAGAATTTGCAAATGAATTGCCCCACAATTCCACCGGGAACGCTGACATAGAGAACAAGAATGTGGTCGTTCGACATGGGTCCTTTTATTATCAATATGACAATGAATGTTATTAGTTGGAACGTGAGGGGAGCTGGAGGCTTGTTAGAATGCACTAACCAAGGATTTGTTTTGTCATGAAAACAAGAGTTAATCCGGAAAGAGCTAGGATAATTGCTTGTTCTTTTCCTTTTGATAAGTTTCATATTGTTGATTCTATTGGTTTTGCAGGTGAGTTTTGGGTTTTATGGGATTCAAGTATTTGCCATATTGATGTGGTTTTTTCTATTGATAGGCTGGTGCATTCTGTTATAACTAAGCTTGAGTCTAACAAAGTTTGGTTTAATACTTTTGTGTATGCTCCGCCCTGCAGGGTTGATCAGTTAGTTGTTTTGGAATTGATCAAGGAGATGGTCTATGAGACCACAAATGGGCCTTGGTGTCTGATTGGAGACTTTAACTCCTTCAAGAATCAATGCAAATAAACAAGGAGGAAGAGCTGTTCTTAATTCCTACTTCATAGTCAAACCTGTGACTTTAATGACCTCATTAATTCTTGTATAATCCTATGGATATGGATACGAGGGATTCCCAACTCACATGGAAAAATAATACTACTCATGAAAAGCTTGATTGGGTCCTCTCAAACACACAATGGAGATTTGAATTTCAGGATAGTACCCTTACTAATCTATCATTTTTGTCTTCTAATCATACCCCTTTTCTCCTCAATACATGCCCGAGTCACCACATGGGGCCTAAACCTTTTAGATTTAAGGCCATGTGATGCTTGGATCACAGTCTCCAGGAGGTTGTTAAAAATGCTTGGTAGCTTAATGTAGATGGCTCTAGAGCTTTTCAATATATTCAGAAAATGAACAATTTGGTTAGAAAACTCAAAGAATGGAATTCAAACCAGTTTGGAAACATTAAGATTAGAAAAATTGAGATTTTGGAGAAGTTGGAGGATATTCAATCCAAGATTTCTGAGAATCCAAATAATCTCACCCTTATTAATCATGAGGTTACTCTCCAACGTCTGTTGGACAATATTCTCGCCAAAGAAGAGATTCATTGGGCTCAAAAGTTGAGTGTAAATTGGCTAAAACTTGGCGATAAGAACAATTATTTCTTTCATACCATGGCTACTATTAAAGATAACAAAAACAAAATTTGGAGATGGAGATATGATGAGGGTGATTGGATTTTGGAGATGAAGAAGATTCAAGATCATTTAAGTAGAGAATTCGAAGAAAGGTTTAAATATGAAGGAACTTGTGGGGTTGAGAGTTTCATTAGTGAAATTCACCATTGTGTGATTGATGAGATTAATCTCGAGATTACTAGGGAGCTCACTGATGAAGAAATTTATAGAAACCTTCTAATAATTAATGACATGAAAGCCCACGGGCCGGATGGCCTCAATGCTCTCTTTTTCAAAAAAAAAAAATTGGAATGTGATTGGGGACTCAGTTTGTTATGCTATTAAGGATTTCTTCCACTCAGGAAGATGAATAGATTTCTAAATTGAACTTTCATCACCTTGATTCCCAAAACTGAGAATCCTAAAACTGTGAATAGCTAGCTATTGACCAATCAGTTTGTGTAATGCAATGTTTCAAAAACCAACCCAGAGGCCAAAGTGTTTTTTCCTTTGGGTCGCCAGGTTACTAGTTCGACTGGCCAAGTCAAACGGGTCACACCATGCCACATCAGCCATATGGAAATATATATATATATATATATATGTATATATATATATATATACATATATATATATATGTATGTATGTATGTATGTATGTATCTGTATATGTATATACATGCACATATATGTGTACAAGTATGTATAAACAAGTATTTTATCAATAAATAATGTATAATTATGTTTTACATATAATATATGAAATGTTTTATATTTAATATATGTTTTTTAATTCAGTTTTAAATTTTTTATTTGTAAAACATATTAAAAACTGCAATTTGAGGCCAAAAAAAGATTTTTTGGAAAAAATAACGAGGCAAGAAACCTATGCATAGATCTCAAAAAGTTACCCAAAATAAAAAAATCACATCAATCGGACATTGGAGTGCAAAGTTATGGCCTATTAAAGTTTGCAAATACAGTTAGTATACAACTTGCAACTCGGTTACTGGGTCAAATGGGTCAACAGTTCAATCATTCAGGTCAGACGGTTTTTTTGACCTTTTCTGGGTTTTGTTCAAACCAGACCCGGAATCTTAACCGAGTGATGGTTTGAGTGGTTCAACTGGTTGGGTTAATGACGGGTTGAATACACTAATGTAATGTGATCTACAAGATTATTTCCAAACTCTTATTCAACAGAATTAAATCCTATTTAGATGAAATCATTTCCCTCCTACCAGAGTGCTTTAGTCCCGAATAGAAAAATCACAAACAATATTCTTATTGCTCATGAGATGATGCACTCTATGAAAAGAAAAAAGGTAAAACAGGGATTATAACCTATAAAATTGATATGGTTTTAGTTAAATTTGGCTTTCACAAACAATGGGTGACTTGGGTTATGGAATGCATTAGATCCGTTTCCTTCCAACCATTCATTAATGGATCTCTGCTCAAAATTATTAAAGCTTCTAGAGGTATTAGACAGGGAGATCCCTTATCTCTCTACATCTTTGTCCTTTGTGCTGAAGCCCTTGCTTGTAATCTTGAAAAGGAAGCTAATTATGGAGATAAACTTATTAGGTGTAGAATTTCGAAGGATAGTCCACCAATTCCCATCCTCTAGTTTGTTGATGATTGCAGTATTTTTGCAAGAACCTCGATTAATGCATGCTTAAAAATTAAAGAAATTATGGATAAGTTTGCATTGGCTTCAGGTCAATCTCCAAACTTTACTAAATCAGCCATTAGCTTTTCTAAAAATATCCCCCTCAAACTACAAAAATTATGGCAAGTGTGGACACCTGATTTTTGCACCCTTCAATTTTTTTTATAGTACTTCGAGATTCAAGCATGCTTCAACTAACCTCTCAATTGATCTAGGGGCATTTTTGAAATTTTACAAAAATTGGGGCCTCAAGGATCTATGACCATAGATACATAGATCCCAAAAACCTAAATCCGAGGACACCAAGATCACTCGAATTTGACACCATTTACCCATTCATCCAACAACCCGAAGACGGAATCTATTCCGGTCGTCCAATTAGTCATTTTGATCATGAACCTAATCTCATGTCAAATTAGAAATCTAAAATCGGAACTGATTTTGATTGTCCGATCAGAGTCATTTTGATCCTGAACCTCATTTCACGTCAAATCAAAAATCCAAAAGCATAGGTACATAGAGCCCAAAAATCTAAATCCAATGACACCAAGATCACCTAAATCCAACACTATTTATACATTCATCTCAAGACCCAAAGCTAGAACTGATTCCGATCATTTTTTATCTTGAACTATATCACATATGAAATTTGAAATCCAACCCTGTAGATGAATAGAGCTCAAAATTTTGAGTCCAACGGTACTAAGATTGTCCAATTTTGACACTATTAACCCCTCCATCCTGAGACCTGAAGCTAGACTCGATCTGAGCCTTTTGTCTAGAATCCTCTTCCCACCTCTAGAATCATGTTAAAATCTAAATTTTAACCAGCTAAGATCCTCCAATCAATCAAGCCAATCACCTAAAGTTAGAATGTCCAATTTAGGTAAATTGGTAAAATCTTACATTCATTGTCTTGATTGATTGAGAATATATCTATCAAAGCTGTCTTAAGAGCCCATTCTCTCAATTAATCTCCCTCCAAAAATCCTTTAAATATCATCCATTAATCTCTTATCTCAGTCCTCCATTCCCCTCTTAAAAATTCTATAAATAGTCCCCTTTCTCACACTCAAGACACAAAATCTAGCTTAGGGAGAGAAGTCTACCTCCATTATCTTAGAGAATACCCCCCTTAATGTCCCAAAGCCTCCCCACTCACTCTCCAACGTCCCTACAATCTCCCCATATCAGTTTGAAGCCAAAAAACAAGTCATGCCTCTATTCAAGAAGGAAAACTTGAAGCTTTCTTGAAGCAACAACAGTGCAGCAGAAAAGTGATCATCATTCAACATGTTTTCCAACA